TTTGGGAAAGTGAGGAAAAGTGAAGAAAATATTGTTTTCTCTCCTGTATATCAGCCTTCTACCCGTTTCTTGTCCCTAACTTTGCATTAAGGTCCAAGCGTCAATTCTGCCCCTAGATCTTTTGGAAATAATTTCGGGCGTGGATGGTAGGAGTACCTTGGGTTTACTTATTGCATTCACTATGGTTGAAAGTACCTTTCAGTTGTCCATTTCCACTGAACTATGGTGTCACTAAATGATTAAATCCTACATCCTTCTCTGGAGACTCTTAGAGCTGTTCACATGCATTTCTTTTTTGTTCTAGAATGTATTTGTAGAAACGGTGGTACAGTTGAAGCTTTGCTCCTTTGCAATTCTGTTTTTTTTTTTTTTAAAGGTTTATTTGTGCATACAGAACTGGGGTAGAGGCCAGAGATGCGGAGGGTGAGAGGATTCACCAGGAACAGAGTGGGGAGCAGAACAGGCAGATGGACGAAGTTGCTGAGGGGAGCAGCAGATGGGTCAGGAGAGGTCTGCCTCGCCATGTGGATCTCCTCCGGGGCAGGCGGGGATCGAACTCATGCGGAATTGGCTTAAGCTTCTTAGTGCAGTGCTTTAACCTGCTGCGCCACCAGGGAGGGCCCTGCAATTCTGTTTTACATGCATGAACCTCTGTGTTACTGCAGACCAGGACATAGGAACAAATGCACCGATTACCTGCCTCGAAATACAGGACATCATAGGAAAGACGATTTAGGGCAGTTAAATAATTGTAATAGTTCAAACCTATATAAGAGAGCAAGGGGACCCAGTTAGAGAGGAAAATAGGGACTTTCTTCTTGAAAGAACACCCAGAAGAAAGCTTGGATGATGTGGTTACTGAACACAAAGTTCTGTTCAGGCCAAAGCAAAATGAAAATGTTGACTTATGCACATCTATGACCAACTCTTTTTGCTGTGATTATTATTCATTTCTTATCTATTTTGAGCTGATTTTTCTAAGTTAATTTTATTCTGTCTCTTAGCCACCAGGCTTTATCATCTGTCATTTTCTGGTCCAGCTCTTGCATTTTGCTCCAGGCTGCTCAGACATCTGGGTCCCCAGTGGAAACACCCCAAGCAGATTGTAGCTCTGTAGTTCTCACTTCATGCTGTTCCCGCCTCTGGGCTGACCACATCCACCTTTTTGTCATTGAAGGGTGTCTTTGGGAATGTATGAAGGGCCCCATTTCTGCAATAAGATTCTCTGAATTTGAATTCCATTTCTACTTCTTAGCTCTGGGGTCTTTGCATGACCTATGTAAGCCCATTGTGCCTCAGTCTCATAAGGCCTAAAATGGAACAATTGTGAAGCTTGATTCCTTTTGTAACCTGGGGTTTTAATGCCCTCGTGTATAGAGAAACCTCAGAACAGTCCCTTGCATGTCCCTGGCTCAGCGAGTGTCAAGGATCAGTATTCATCTCAGTCTGTGTCACTCTTGCAAGGAGCAGAGCAGTTACCTAGCGCCAGGGCCCACTGCTGGCTCCCAGTAAATGCCCCTGTGTCTTATCAAGGAAAAGGTGCCCTTGCCTTCATGATGTTCACCAGAGAGGTGACAACCAATGGTGGGACTTCCAAGGCAGGAAAGAAAGAAGGCCAGTTGCCCCAGTGTGCTGAGCCGCTGGGACCCTAGACACCACCTCCACCAGGAGTTAAAGACTGGTCTGAGCTGGGAACTGGGTTGTATAATCCTGCAAAGACCACGGGGCCCTTGGCCTTGGATTACTTTGGGGTCATTCTACTTGCCTGGGTATCAGATTTTTAATTGCTCCCTTCACACTCAGAATGAAAAAGCAGGAGGCCTGTTGCAAATAAATGTGCAGGTCAGTGACACTTGCTCCGAAGCCCACGGTTGGATCCTGGTGTAGTGGCCCCAGTAAAGTCACTCATGCATTTCTCCTTCACAAAGTCAGCTCTTTGTCCTTGTCTCCTTGGCCAGAGGCAAGTTTTAGGAGGCACCACGAGTCCCACACTGGAGGTGGCCAGTTCTCCTTTCTCAAACACATCTCTGGTTGGGTTCTGAAAATTGTCTGTTGTGATCATGGTTGCTCTGCCTCTTTCATCTGTCTGTCTGTCTGTCTGTCTGCCTGCCTGCCTGTCCGTCCGTCCATCTGTCTATCAATCTCAATATATATATTTACTATGTCATGGTTCATTTGTGGGCAGCGTTTGCTTTCTCCTCCCAGGTGTAGTCCCAGTAAAATTCCGACCACCAATTCACCCATGCACCAGCTCCCTCCCTAATCCCTTGTGGTCTTCTCTCCCTTGTGCTCTACTCTCCCCTGTTCTGCTCCCTCTCCCTCCCTGTCCCAGAATGAAGGACAAGGAAATATATGATATGGCCAAATAAGGGATTTAGAAAAATAATAATAATAATAATAATTGATAAGTAAAACAAAATGAACAGGCAACTACAGCGCTTCCACTTTCTTAAGTCTGTGCCTCTCGCCCATAGTAAGGAAAGGAAATAGCACTGTTTTATTCAAAACCCTCATTTCAAAGACACGTAGACCCCAGGGACCACTCTGCACTCTGGCTGGGAAACTGTCCCATTCATTTAGGCGCGCAGCCTCTGCGTCATGACACTTGCTGACGGTTAAGAGTAGATGCTGATAATGCCGCTGACAGTCGAGAAAGAAACAGTTTCCCTATGCAATGTGGAGCCGTGTTGGCAATTTCTCCGGGACACAGACTTCTTATTTCTAATATATCTTCAGAGATCAGTTATACATGCTTGTGGGGAATGAATTCAACGTCAGTTAACGTTCAGAAGCAAAATTTCCACCAAAGACCCTGGGAGATGGCACCCCAATAGCTCCCAGGACGCACTTTCAAAAATTAAAGTCATAGCTTCCACTTCTCACACTCACATCCTAATCCAGCTAATCTTGAGCTTAATTAAATTAAATTACTTAACTTACTCTGACATTTATTTGTCTTTCTCCACCCTACCACACACATACACACCAGCTTTCCTTGTGCATGGCAAAAATTCAGGGACTTAGACAAAAATCAGCTTTATTTCAAAGATAGCATTTTAATTACAATACAGTATTTCAATATACGATAACTAAAGGGACCTTGTTTAATTCATTGTCTTGAGAATTAATGTGTAGAATATATACCAGTATTTGTATAGTATATTGTTAACACATGTTAACTAGTTTTTTTAATATTCTAGTTGCTATTTACATACTTTTATATGCTCACTGCTGTAAAATATATTAATTATATTTAATTAAAATTTTGAATATATTAATAATTTATTATTAAATATATTAAGAATACCACCTAGAATCTATTAGCCAGACACTACTCAAATCCCTTGATGGTATTCAAATCCTTTTATGAGTTCCACCATGACCTAAAAAAGTAGGCATTATTATTACTCCTGTTTTATTGATGAGAAAACTGAAGCACAGATAGTTTAAATAAGTTACCCAATGTCATACAGCTTGTAAACGGCAGAAAAAAACTTTTTAAATTTGTTTGCTTAAATATTCGGTTGCTCAGGATTGCCACAGAAAAAGCCCTGTGAAGGAGATACCATGATTCCCATTTTACAGATGAGCAAACTGAGGTGTATAGAGGCCAAGTGATACGCGTAAAGCCATAAGAGTCAGAATTCAGCCCTAAGTGTGTCTCTCCAAAGCAGGATATTTCTTCTCTGCAATCAGACCAGGGCCCTGACTTAACAGCTCCCTGGGTCCCTGCTATTTGGTATGAGCCTATCTGAGTATGAGATCCCCTGTGTAATTGAGCCCAGGAAGAGAAGTGCTGAGTTATGTACGTAAAGCAGGGTAGTGCTGTCATCTGGGTGAATGAACTACAGAAGGACTGAGAATTTAAAGAGCCCACTCTGTAGATCATGGAATGTGCCTGGTGCCTATGAAGTACGCTCTCATTCACGTTGAGTGATGGTGATACAGGGTGTGGCCCTATGAATGGGGGAGCAGTGTCACTAAATATCCTGCAACACACATGAACCCCCCCTCCTCCCCCCCGATCAAATAATTATCTGACCCAAAATAACAGTCATGCCAAGATTGAAAAGTTCTGATCTAAGGGCTTTCTTTGACCAAATTAATAGCCCCTGTAGCTAATGTTAAACATGGTGTTAAGAAAGCTGGTGCTTAGATACCTTGACTCGCTGCCCCTTAGGTGAGACAGCTCTGTGGCGTTGGACTTCCAGGGTTCAGAAGTGGGATGAAGTTCCAGTTGCTTTAGTGATCACTTGATGTGTGTGTTAGTCATGGTTGACCAGAGAGAACACACAGAGAGAAAAGCAGAAACTTTACTTTTAGGAATTGAGTCACAATTGTGGAGCTAGAAAGCCTGAAATATACAAAGACTGCAGGTATTTAGAGTTGCCTGGAAATTCTGGCAGGAGTTCATGGAATGTTGATTCCAAGAACAATCTAGAGGTGAAAGTCCTCTTCTCTGTGAAACCTCAGTCTTGTCAACTGACCAGACACAGCCCGCCTGATTATGGAGGGCAACCTATTTTACTCAATATCTACTGATTTTAAAGTTTACATATTTAAAAATACCTTCATAGCAAAATGTAGATTGTTTTTTAACCAAGCAACTAGCTGGTTAAACAAGTTACGCATAAATTAGCCATCATACTCTTTAACTCATTCACTTTTGGCATATGCCTACCCGTCTCACTTTATAACTAACTATTCCTGGTATCACCTCCCACTACTTGTGCGCAAATCCAGGTCTCAACAGTCTGCTTCTGGGTAGTTAATAGGGGGAGAGGAAGTGAGGTTAAGGGGAGGTTTTTTTGGGGGGAGGGGAGGAGATAGAGGATGCTAGAAGGGGCATTTTAGAATCTTCTGGGGTAAACTGCTTTTCTAGTCAGGCTGTGTAGTGATGTTACTTTACTCTCTATTTGGGCTGGTGGTTGGTTTTAACCTAGTGACTGTGGGTTTCAACGTAAAACGTGACCATTCTCCATTCATGTCTGTCTTCCCAGGTGGAGTATGATCGAGCACAGATGGTCCTCAGTCCTCCACTGTCAGGGTCTGACACATACCCCAGGGGCCCCACCAAACTACCTCAAAGTCAAAGCAAAGCAGGCTATTCCTCAAGCAGCCACCAGTACCCCTCTGGATATCACAAAGCCACTCTGTACCACCACCCCTCCCTGCAGACCAGCTCACAGTACATCTCCACAGCATCTTATCTGAGCTCCCTCAGCATCTCCTCCAGCACCTACCCCCCACCCAGCTGGGGCTCCTCCTCGGACCAGCAGCCCTCCAGGGTGTCCCATGAACAGTTTCGGGCTGCGCTGCAGCTGGTGGTCAGCCCAGGAGACCCCAGGGAATACTTGGACAACTTTATCAAAATCGGAGAAGGGTCAACTGGCATTGTATGCATTGCAACGGAGAAACACACGGGAAAACAAGTTGCAGTGAAGAAAATGGACCTCCGAAAGCAACAGAGACGAGAACTGCTTTTTAATGAGGTAGAGTGTGTGTTTGGATCACCCTTTTCTCCTGTGTAACATTTCCTTTCCATTTCAGATGTAATGCATGTGTATTTAGGACATTCAAAAGTACTGATAATGTGAGTCCCAAAACAGTGTCCCCCATAATCCTTCCTTCTGCTCTTTTCCTGGTCATGCATGTAGGCCTGCTACCTGCATGAAGTACTGCAGGTGGATCAGCCGCTGTGCAGAGATTTAGCTGGCTTGATTTTCATAACCACCCTAGCAGAAAGAAAAGTATCATTACCATTTTGATAACAAGGAAGCCTGTACTCCGATAGGCTAAGTGACTAACCCAGGGTCACACTACATGTTGACAGCAGAGCTGGGATCTAACAGATTGCAAAACCTCATGTTATACTGCGGCTCTATATACCCTTTACACTGATGTGATACTATGTGTAAACAGCCTATCTAGCCAGATTTTTTTACAATAAGCAAAGATCAATTTACCAACACACAGTTGCTCTTTAGGAACCTTTAAACATTTTTCCTAACTATAGATTCAAATCTTTCTGTGGAAAATGTCCTTAATTCCACCAAGCAGTAACTTGCATAAATATTTTAATATTTCTTTCCCATATTTATTCTATTTAGAAAAATGATGTATTTTCTTCACTTTCAGAGTCCATTTATTTCCAGAAAGTTTGTGCCCATTTGGACCTCACCAGCAGTCCTGCCCCTCCCTCACCAGCACTGGACACTGTCATGTTTTGTGTTAATCAGATAGACATGAACATAGCTTACTGCCTTAATTAGCACTGTGTTACATGTCTGCAGGCCATTTTTATTTCTTCACAAAATTGTATGTCCTTTGCAGTTTTCAATCATTTATCATATGAACTCTTGATATATTATCTGTTGTACATAATCTTTCCTCTTGATCATATGCCTTTTAAACTTGCTTATTACTTTGTGCTCTACAATGCACAGAGGTGTAAAAAAACATGAGTTTCTGGGTCCAAGAAACAAAACATTTTGGAGCAATATCTATTTACTGATTTTATGAGCATCTTAGGGGAGAGATGTGATTTTGTGGAGGAGAAATCTAAGTCTTAAACATATCAGGTGAGGAATGCAGTGTAGCTCTGTCAGTCTCTAACTCCTAACTCTCAGAGCAATAAGCAGGTGCTGGGAAAAGGTCATCACTTAGACTTTGTGGCTGTCATCTTTGGTGGCTGCATGTTCAGCTCCTGTGGGGCTGCATGTTCATCTCCTGTGGGGCTTCATTTCTCTCGCACACTTTGAACCTCACAGAGAGCCCCAGGTGAGTGGGCTTTGACATCTTCTCAGTATGTGATTCCTGCTTCTGGGACTTATTTCAAAATCACAGTGCCATAACACAGTGCAATATAATATAGCTAAACAATTCTATAATTTATTAACAATAATTCCAAAAATGTCAATGAAAGCGGTCACAAGACAGTCATCCCAGAAACCCCCTTCAGTAAACAGACTCGGTTTAGTTTCTTAGGCCTACTTACCTTCTTGATTCCTTGTAGTTCTACTAGTTACCCTCGATGCCACCATTTTGCTATATTGTGACTCCCAAATAAAACCCTCCACAATCAGTATTTCTCAGTCACTTGTGCAGATGTGGCCAGAGAACAAAGTCAGATTTCGCCATCACATGTCAAAAGTACCTTTCCCTTTGCCCAGGTTGTAATAATGCGGGACTATCACCATGACAACGTGGTTGATATGTACAACAGCTACCTTGTCAGCGATGAACTCTGGGTGGTTATGGAATTTCTAGAAGGTGGTGCCTTGACAGACATCGTTACTCACACCAGGTATGCTTCATTTTTATCCAGACAAATACTTCAAGGTATGTATTGTTTTCCTCCAGGCTGAGGTCTTGGTGACTTTTTATGAATTCTTCTTAAGTTATAAGTACTTTGAAGTCAGGGACATGACTAGACTTTCCTATGAACTCCAGAAGTGCCTGTTGTAATGTTCTCTTTTTTCTCTAATTCATTAATTAACAGACACTGTGTCTTCCAGAAATTCATTAATATCCATTGTTTTTAAAGCAGCAATCTGCTGAGAGTGAAGTTTTAGTAACCAATAATAGAATTCCCCACTTCTGCATAGATTTCTGTATCTGAGCTCCATTCCAATAACATCAAGGGATACTGACTGCATTCTAATAACATCAAGGGAACCTGTGGGAGAATGACCATGGGAGAGAAATGCTTCAATTATTTTTTTAAAATAGTCTTGCAGATAGCAAAGATAAATTATCATTGTTGCCTCAGCTACTTGCTTACCTGATATGTTAATTAAACTCATTTCAAGTTCTTGTTAAGTACTTTTTAAGTGGCAGGCTCTTTCCTAAGTGCTGAATACAAAATATACAAATGACTAAGTCTCAGATACATTTCCTCAGGGAAATCTCAGGTTAAAAACAAATATAATGTCTGTACAGAATTAGAAAGCATATATAAGTAGCACAGAAATATACCTGAATATCTCTATTGGGGATACTCAAGAGGTCTTTCTAATATAAGGTGATGTCTGAAGTGGGTTTTGAAAGAAGTAATAGGCTTGCTGAGAAGGTAAGTAGGGGGAGAAAAGACACTGAAGGCAGAGGAAAATGTCTGTGCTTAGGCAATACATCTCAAATGTGCTCATGCATATGCATTCCCTTATTTAAATATAGTTCTATTCAGTAGGGAGGGGAATAATACTGTGCATTCTAACAAACTCCCAGGTGATACCTAAGCTATTCCTTTATGGAACACAGATAGGGGAAACAGCGTTCTAAGGAATAGACATAAAAGGACATGTTAGGTGGGGAACTTTAAGCTTGATCTTTGCTGGTAAATAATATGCTAAAGAATTAAGTGAGGACTGTCAAGAAAGAGAGGCATTGAATATGCTCTGTCAGTGAAATGGTGCCCAAATCATAAATGCCTCCACTTGAGAAACTGTCATGGGAAAGCAACTTAGCAAAAAAAATGTTAAAAGCCCTGTGAGGGTTAATGTCTCCTGCTGTTTCGCTACTAAAATGAGGCAGATCTTCATGTCCTTCTCAACTGCAGTTGTTCATCTAAAAACAAAGGAACATTACACTAAATATTACTACCAGTGTTTTAGCTGGCAAACTCCTGGTGTAGTTATTGGAGATGTCCACCCAAAAAATAAATACTATCATTTTAATTTGTAGAAGCAAATATATTGAAGAACCCTGAGAATAAGACAAATGCGACTTACATTTATAAAAGCTAATAAACATGTCCAGGGAGGGGCTTTTTTTCTTAACTTGGGGAGCTAGAGATAGTCTCTTTAAGGCTCTCCCTTTGTCAAACTTCTTTTCAATTCTTATTTTGTATCAGTAGGATCCACTTAAGAGCTAGCATCTCTGGAATCCATTGTGTTTCCTAATTTTCTCCATCTGGCTTTGTCAACTAATTTCCCCTTGCAGGCAGAGTAGTTTTAGAAAGTGAGAAGAATATTTGGAATTTGAAATCCTTAAGCTGGTAATTTGGTTTCCTATAATAGATAGTCTATAAGTGCTGTATTGAACAATTGATTGTTGGTTAATAAAATACCTAACCCCTTGCTATTCAAAGTGTGGCCAGGGACCAACAGCATTAACGTCATCTGGGAGCTTGTCAGGAGTGCAGAATCTCAGGTTCCTCCAAGACCTATTGAATGAGAATCCACCCTCTAGCCAGATGCTCAGGTGTTTCTCCAGTTTACTGAAGTTTTAGCCCCACCTCACATCTTGTTAAGTTGTGTTCTATTGATTTGCATAAGAGGACTCGAGAAGGGAAATTAAAGTGCCAAGTCCTGGCAGGTTCTTCATATGTGAACTCATGTAACCTTCACACTTCTCCTTAAAGTAGGTGTTGCTGTGCCTGTCTGTCAGATGATGAGGCTACAACTCAGAGATGAAAAGCATCTTTCTCAAGATCACATATTTAATAGTTGACAAGGCCAGGATTTGAATTTGGAGTTGACTCAGGAACTGTGGCATCTTTAGCCCATACCAGGCTTCCTCCCTACAAAAACAACAGTTGGAGCTGGCCATTTGAAAGCCATTTAGAGTTGGAGCTGGCCATTTGAAAGCCATTAAATTAAGTATTGATAATATTTATCCCATATTCCAGTTAAAAGTGAGCCCTCAGACAGTGATAAGGGCTCTGGTTCAATTAATTTGGGTAAAAGTTGACCTATAAAGAATCTTTATGCCTACCTCGGCTAACTCAAATCTCCTGGAATCCAAGAAAAAAGAATTTTATAAAGATGATGCTCCTTGGTCCTGAATTGGTTTTAAGTTATATTTAAGTTTGTCTTTGCTCCTAATGCTCTAAGCATATCTAAGGGGTATGCTTTGGACAATCACAGAAATTACCCAGCACATTGACCAGCCCACTTACCACAAAACCGAGAACTCAGATGTTGTAGATTTCTACCCTATTTCAAATGAGAACCTCAGTGTGATGGGAGACCAGTGCATTGCTTTGGGCCACTTGGAAGAGAAGAGCATGTTTCTTCTACTTAGACCCTTTACATCTACAACTTTCTCCTAATTGACTCTTCTTGTATTTTTCCTTTGAATCTTAGTTTTTCTCTGTAAAACTAGGTACCAACAGGACTGATACACAAATCCCAAGTGTCCATTTACTTTCCTTGCTAAATGTCACCTAGTTACCCAAGCCAGTCCTCAGAGTTGTGGTCTCCTCTATTTGTGTCATAGCTTATTTCGGGAGCTCTATCACTTTGCTATCTAATAGCCTTCAGCTACTTCTGTGATAGGGAACCAGTGTTCTACACCTAGATGAACTGGGAGGATCCCAAATGGCATCATTTTTTTTTTTAAAGATTTATTTATTCATACAGAACTGGGGTACAGGCCAGAGATGTGGAGGGTGAGAGGATTCACCAGAGACAGAGTGGGGAGCAGAACAGGCAGATCAACGAAGTACACTGCTGAGGGGAGCAGTGGGCGGGCCAGGAGAGGTCTGCCACGCCATGTGGTCACCTCCGGGGCAGGCAGGGATTGAACTCATGCGGAAGTGGCTTAGGCTTCTTAGTGCAGTGCTTTAACCCGCTGCGCCACCAGGGAGGGCCCCAAATGGCATCATTTTGAGGACACAGAGCAGCTCCTGCTACCCAAATAGTTCCTGTCTCAATCCCTCAAAGAAAAACTAATTATTATTATTATTATTATTAAGCAGTCATATTATTAAGCATTTACTGAATATTTATCTTTGCATTTCTTTTTTATTTATTTTTATAAGTTTATTGTTGCATCATTTTGTGCCCTTTTCCATCTCACTTGTAATCTCCATGAATTTACCATCACCAATTCATCCTTGTGCCATCACCATAGTTCTGTGTACTTCCCCTGACCCCATTTAAAAAATATATATATAATACTTTAATTTTACATATTTTTGTGCATTTTTCCATATCAGTTGCAATCTCCTTGGGTTTCCCATCACCAGATCACTCATGTGCCATCACCACAGTCCAGTGCATTTCCCTCCCCCAACTGTTTTTGATCCCATTCCCCACTCCACCCCCACAAACTGTCTCTCGTATATAACTGTTCATCATTATCATTATTTTCTCGCCTGTTCCGTTATATTCCTGCTATGAGTGAAACCATCTGATATTTTTCCTTTTCTTTCTGGCTTATTTCACTAAGCATGATCTTTTCCAGCTCCATCCATGTTGCTGCAAAAGACATGTGTTTCTTCTTTTTGGTTGCTGAGTAATATTCCATTGTGTATATATACCTCATCTTTTTAATTCAGTCCTCCATTTTTGGGCAGTTGGGCTGTTTCCCTGTCTTTCCAATTGCCTCCCCCTATTTTTTATCCCATTCCCCACTCCGCCCCCATAAAATGTCTCTGGTATCAGTCGTTCATTATTTTTATTTTTTCCCTCTGGTCCTTTATGCTCCTGCTATGAGTGTAACCATCCAGTGTTTTTCTTTTTCTTTCTGGCTTATTTCTAGTTTACTCTTTAGAAATCCCATGCATTTGAGTTGCAATGCTAATGTGATTTGGTGGCAAAGTTAGAATGCCTGGGTTCTGAACTCAAGAGGAGGTGTCCTTTGAATCATGATATGGTTACTGTTAGCTGTGCCTCCTTAGGCAGGCTGCCCACTCTTCTAGAAGTACCTTCTTTGGAGGGGTAGAGTCATGGAATATGGGCACCCACCCAGCACTGCGACCACCTTCCTTGTTCCTTTGATGTATTTATGAAAGCGACAGCTATTCCCACTTAGTTATCTGTTACTTCCCAGGTCTAATTTCCATTTGCCAGAGGAACCTGGAGCAACAGAGACCTCCAGCCCTTGGAAGAGAGAGGGGAGGATTAGTGAGCAGCAGAGCAAGTCTCAGAGGGGAATCTTAAAGATCCAAAGACCCTTCTGCCTGAATCCAGCCTGGAGAACTATGGCTGTCTCCATTTCCCAGATAAGGAAAAAAAGACCCAAGGAAACAAAAGAACATGTTCGATGTCCCCTAGCAACAACCCCTGAACCTTGGGCTGTGTATTTGTTCTGCTCTCTGTGTAGGACCCTGAAGGTTTACCTCTGTTTAAGGAATTACCTCTAGGTGCAGAGTCCAAGGAAGTGCATTTGCATGAATCACTCCAAAGGCAAAAAACAGGGGAACTCTTTCCTTTTTTGGCTTGTCTTGACTAATGACTTCCTCTCTGCCAAGCTTTTGTTCTGACTCAGATTCTAGAGGTGTCCTCTCACTTGCTTATAGACTTTCCAGACCTGTGCTGGAGAACAGAGACTGACCCATTCAAAGCCAAGGGAACTGCTTCTCTTAGTCATTTCAAAGCCATCGGTCATTTCAAAGATGTTCTTAAGCCTGTCCTTGCTCCTTAAATGTTATTTCCTTTCTAGAATGAATGAAGAGCAGATAGCTACCGTCTGTTTGTCAGTTCTGAGAGCTCTCTCCTACCTTCACAACCAAGGAGTGATTCACAGAGATATAAAGAGTGACTCCATCCTCCTGACCAGCGATGGCCGGGTAAGAATCACATTTGGCTCCTCCGTGGTTGACCTCGTCACTTCATCTGTCATGGCCATTATCCCCCAAGAACACTCCTCTTCGGTCTAATTTTCCTTAGTCACAGTTACTCACTGCCCTTCCCAGAAGGCTTCCAAAAAGGAAATTACCATTCTCTGTGTCATCCTGTTAGTCAGAATTGTTTGTGACCAGAATTTGATGGATAATTTTCTACCTCAATAATGAGAGTAGGAAGCAAGAGAAACTGGAAATTCCTTTTCTTTTTCTCCCTTGTTCTTATCTCCTGTTGGAGAAGAGACAATGACTTTTCTAGGCTGTGACCAGCTCACTTGTGTGGCTCTGTGGTCTGCAGATTCCTCAGCATTCCAGCAGGAAACAGTGACAAGTTCTGCAAGGGTAATTTGAAGAGAGTTTAATAAAGGTGTGGGCAGATGTGGTAGACTCATAAGGAGCAGTACGTGAGGATTAGTGCAGCAGTTTAGAAAGGAACACCACGCTTACCACCCCTGGTCTGAGTAGGCAAAGCACAACTGATCCCTGGAATCTGGAAATAGAGATTACTATGTGAGGAGGGGAGATAGTCTGGCAGGAAGGTCACTTCAGTGTAAGCCAGACCACAGCAAACCTTTAAGACAGGAACTGGGGGAATAAACACCCAATGCACTCTGCTCCTTCTTTCCAAACCCCTATCATTTCCTCCCTTCTCTCCATGAACTGAGCCCCGTCAAAAGCCGCCGTGCAGTCACACAGGTTGGCTCCCAGCACTTGGAGAAGAGAGGAGACTGGGTCTGGAAGGATAATCACATGATAGCCACCTTTACACATTCCTGCATTGCCCTTCTCTGCAACCTGCTCAAGGATTCTGTTGACACTCATCAATAAACCTCTCAGGCATGAATGGCTTGACATTCTAAAGAAGGTTTAGTTTCCTTAGGATGGGGTTCAAAGGCATAAATGTTCGCCATGTAGGTCCTCTTAACCTCCCTAACACTCACACTGGGATGAATGGAGCCAGTCCTCCCTTTGATGCACCTGTGTTTACAGCAACCTCAGCCGCATGGAAACGGCTCAGATCACATCGGAATCCACCCAGGAGTGCCTGAGGGCGGCCACAAAAAACTGCCTGACCACTTTGACTTATCTTTGTTTCAAGAACTTATAAAACTGTTGATGCTAGCTAGCTGCGTGTTGCTATTGATACCACTGCCTGCATCGCTTTGCCTGGGAACAGCCTTCGGCCTGTATAGTCTGCTCTTCCAGTACATGGCCAGCTAGAAATTCCAAGAACATAGTCCATGCTTCCCAGGAAGAGCCTAGAACAACTGGCAGGACCTAGTATATAAATACTCCAGTTCCCCCATCCTTGGCTGGAATAGCTCTGAAGCGCTAATCACCTGACCCTCCAGACTCCATCTACTGGATTACACTCCTTGTTCACAGTGGTAACAACACGGTGACCCTTGATGGCCTCCTTCCCTTCCCTGTTACGCTTCCCCACTTCACTACTGGTTGCATCTCACCAACAACTTTCACTGAGTTCTTGTCCTGGGGGGCTGCTTCTGGGGAGGGGATTTGGGGTTTGGATAGAAACTACAAAGTTTCCAGAAATACTGTTATGTGTTCATGCCCTCTCTCCCATAGAATTTTCAGTAAGCGTAAAGAATGGCTAAGAGGGCCTCCCTCGTGGCCTAAGAGAAAAGTCTCAGAGCTGTCATCACTATGGCCTGATGACAGACCCCCAGCCAGGGAGCTGACCCACAAAAGCTACCGCAGATTGTTCCCTGTCTCACCCACTGCTCCCATTAGCAGTGTATTCTGTCAATCTGCCTGTTGTGCTCCTCATTCTGTCTCTGGTGAATCCTCTCACCCTCGGCACCTCTAACCTGCACACCAGTTCTTCTAAGCAAAATAATATAATAACAATAAGTAAGGTGATCTCGACTGGCAACCAGAGCCTTCATAACTGTGCCTCTGACAGTCAGCAAAAGTCAGTATCTCTTTAACAAAGAGGGGATGTCCCATCCCTAATTTTGCATTAGCTCCACCTGGCCCAATTCATGTATTGCTATTTTTTTTTTTTTTGCCTCGTTTTCTTAGACAATTAGTGTTGCTGGTTTTCAAATAACTAGTATCTGATATATATTTTTTTTAAACCTTGAATATTATCTCCCAAATACTATTTTTTTTTAAAGGTTTATTTAGTGATGCTTACAGAACTGGGGTACAGGCCAAACGTGTGGTGGGTGAGAGGATTCACCAGAGACAGGGTGGGGAGCAGAACAGGCAGACTGACAAAGTACACTGCTGAGGGGAACAGCGGGTGGGTCAGGAGAGGTCTGCCATGCCATGCTGGATCGAACTCCCGCTGCAGTGGCTTCAGAGAGCCTCATAATATGGTGTTTTAACCCATCGCACCACCAGGGACAGTTCCCAAATGCTATTCTTAAAGAAGTAGAGACTTGGATGTGTTGAATAGCTTGCCTAGCTTAAATCCATGAAGACCTCTGACCCTCCTTCCTTTCTGGTGCTTTCCTAATGCAGGGCACATGGCATGAGGTCAGGAGACCCAGGGGTAGTCCACATCCCATACTGTTGTATAGTCTTGGGCAAGTTCTTTCTGCTCTCTTTCCCGTGCCAATGGTGAGGACCTGGCTAAGTTTGCTATGCCATTCTAGTTTGGCCACTCTGATGCCCTCCCTCCTTTTCCTCTGAGCATGACTGCTAAAGAAAAAGTCTTAAATTGGAGGAACCATCATTGATCTGGCCTTTCTATAGCATCTCTCACTTCATTTGTCCGTGGGCAATTACTCTCCAAGAGACAGCACCTCAAACGTTGGCGAGAATCAGAACCATGACAGAGTCTGGCAAAAAAAACAAATTCCTGGGCCCTACCCCTTGGAGATTCTACTCCAAGGAAGCTGGGTAGTACCCAGCTAGGTTGGTACGCAACCTAACAGATCCCGGGGATTGCTGATACTACCCATTTGAGAACCCTTTCCTTACAGGAAGCACCCAGAAACCTTCATTTTTTGCCTTAGCCAAGCCTGGAGTAAGAGTATGTGAAATTTACCAAGCAAAAGAATTCAATTCTGTTTTAAACCTGTAGCGACCTGGCGAGTACCTCCCTTGCATGTCTCCACAATCATCCCAGTCTTCCATACTTTTGTGGGGGTCCTGATTCCCAACTAGGACATGAGATGGAGAGCATCTCGGGTTTAAATAGCAGTTTGGTCTAAGCTCTAGCTTTGTGTCTGACCCCTGTGGAACAAGCTACAACTCCTTTTGGGGTGCAGGCAATGTACTAGCCCAATTCTCTTAATCTTACTGTGTGAGTGAGGCAAACATGGTTTCTCAAGCAGCCACTTAAGATTTAGAGTCTAGGTGATTTGCTCTTAAGATCTGCCTACAATGCTTTATTATATTCATTACTTGAGTTCTCATTATCTACTTGCAGATTTATTCAGATGACTGTTGTGTGCAATTATGTTCTTTTAGAAAATTGTCTCTTTTATGTACTTGGATGGGTAAAAAAAAAAAATCATGCAAAAGTACATCCACTCCTACAACAGAAGATCAGGCCTTGCCTCTAACTACTGAGTTACAATTTCTTATCTTATGTTTTGTCAGGGAGATCATTATTTGTCTGTCAGGTTTGGTTGGGTTTTTTTGCTTGTTCTTTAAGTCTGGAAAAAGAAAAGCACACTAGCGATATTGAAATAAAACTTCACCGATACAGAAAAGCTGGTATATTCACTTCTGTAACTGTTCAGGAGTCTTAAATTTACAGATAAACACAATGCACTGGCCAAATTTTTCTTCCTCTGCTTGCAGCAAGTATGCACTGCTACTCACTTGAGTCTCACTTGCCAGAACACTCTAAGGAACAATAATTCAAATATAAAGAAATTACTTATTTGAGTGTCTCATGATAATTAGAAACCTTTTGCAGTGTTTAGCAACAACGAAATGTAACCATTTGTACAAAATTCCTATTGAATTTAACAATTAATTTACATTTAAACATCATCTGTTATGGGTTGAGTTTTAATCTCTTGTGTGGGGCATATTTAAATATTGTTTGTTTCATAATTTTCATAAAAGTGTAAACAGCAGGAGCTTAAACACATACAAGTCAACCCCAGTGAACCCATGAGAGGTTATCCACTGAAATGGATCATACATTTCCAATAAGAGACTAACAAGTCTCCTTTCTCCAATATTTCCAAGGCCTGTTAATGAGGCTGTTTTGTTTGGAATTTGAAACTCACTTTACGTGTCTATGCCTTGCCACCAATATATTAAAATTATTAATTAATAACTCTTTTCCTTTTCAGATAAAGTTATCAGACTTTGGTTTTTGTGCTCAAGTTTCCAAAGAGGTGCCCAAGAGGAAATCATTGGTTGGCACTCCCTACTGGATGGCTCCTGAGGTGATTTCGAGGCTGCCTTACGGAACAGAGGTAAGAATGTGACCATATGTGACAGCAGCAGCCTCTTGCCAGGCTCTGGGTTGCAGTGGTTCTCATGTTGGTGACTACAGGGTACCAGGGTGACAGTGACTGACTCCATGTGTGACCCCCATCTACCAGAGGTCTCACACAGTAGATCAGGCAGCAGGGTCACTAGCCACAATGAAGACACCCCAACCGTGTTCAGCGACTACTTATGGAGTTCCCATAGTAGACACCAGGGGGAGTCACTGAGCCCATTGCCAGTCAATGGTGTCCAAAAATCCAGACAGGCCAGACTGAAGAGTGTCCAGAGACCTACTTGTGAACAAGCCAGATGAGAAAAATGGTCCGGGGTCAGAGGAAAGCGCCACAAAATAACTGTAATGCTCAGAGGAGTTTACAGTTTAAAATTAGGGCACAACTTCTATTTCTTCCAGAAAGGAAGTAGTCACTCATCAATGACTAAGCAGCTGAGCTTGGGTTTGTGAAAGTGGGAGACAGAGGGCGGAGGGAAGGCCTTCTAAGGAGGGAATAGTGTGAACAGAAGCTCAGAGTCATGCAACACTACAAGCGTGGAGGCGAGGACTTGACTTCTGCTGGGTGTAGCGTTTTTCTGCATAATTGGTGCAGATGGTGAGCCTAAGACCGGAGCCTGGGAGAGGCGGCATGGACCAGTGAGCTAGGACATTCGCACAAGTCAAGGCAGACCCTGCCCCCACCCTGCCCCTATCCTGCTCCCTCATTTGCTTGCCCTTGTATGAGTGCTCCTCTTGTTTTTCTCCCTGTGGTCCTGACAGCATGAATTCCATTGAAGGTCATTGCAAGAGTTATAACAGAATGCAACTAACCGATAAGAGGTGTAATGAGGCTATAAGGAAGCAGTGACTGTAACTGGGAATTTATAACCCAGCTATGGTTTCTCATTGTCCTGACTTCCCATTCTTTACTCAGAAAGAATTGCTTGTCATCGCTTCCTTTTCTCCTCACCATCCCCTAAAAATGGTTTTATAAAGCAGTTTTATGTGTGCTACTTCAAAATGATTAAACATAGAGGAGATAACCTCAAAGACGGGGGAAAGGACTATTTTTTAAAAATTTAAATTGATCATCAGAATATTTTTCGCATTATGCAACATAGCTTTTTAAAGTTTGTTATAACTATGTAAAAAACTTGTCTTATATATCTTTTACAGTGTAAATTCAGCTTTTTTCTCTGTATAATGTAAAACTTTAGATTTTATTTTGATCTGCCCTAATGAGCAGTTAACTACCCAAGTTAGCAGGATTTTTTCAAATAAGTTCTAAATTTCAGAATGTTAAGGTATTCATGTATTCCTAATTAATAGGGCTTCATTGATGTTCCTTTAAAAAGCAAATGAAGACTATTTGCAAAAATTTGGCCCCTGAACAGTTCAGCCTGTACATCTGCATTGTCATTTTGAGAGGTTACCAATACCAAATTAATACATGAATCTATTAATACATGAATCTGCATCCCAACATTTCAGTCTTCTCCTCCCTGAAATAACCAATAAGTTGTGCCTGGCAGGTGGACATCTGGTCCCTCGGGATCATGGTGATAGAAATGATCGATGGCGAGCCCCCCTACTTCAACGAGCCCCCACTCCAGGCGATGCGGAGGATCCGGGACAGTTTGCCACCAAGAGTGAAAGACCTACACAAGGTAAGAAGCAGCATCTGTTGCTAAAGTCAAAAATCACTCTTGGCCTTTTCTACTTCTCTATAGTTTTAAAGATGGTCATGTAACTTCCAGGAGTAGGTTCTGTCTGGTCTGTGTGCATGGAGTTGGGAATTAATTAACCTCTCAAATTCAAATTTCTGTGCTTCTTGTTCACTCACTGGGAAGTCACTAAGGCTCTCCATCTCTGATGTTCATCTGTAAGAAGAGCACAGTCAATCTCTCCCTTGGGGTATTGTCAAGAAGAGTGAGTAATCAGGTGCAACACTCAACACTCCCTCCCGGAGAATCTATGACATGCTGGGAGTTGTTCTAATGCTGGGGTTTTCACAGGGCAAGATCCCAGGCTTCCTTATTCTCATAAGCTTTCCTTCTAGTTAGGGAGGCAGATAATAATCTGTAAACAATTTCAGAAGGCAGAATATACTATTAAGAAAACCTAGCGCTGTATATTACAGAAATGTGCAGGAGAGAGATCTGGGAGTCTCTTGAAGAGTGAGGAAGTCCTTTCATCAGAAGGATCATCTCTCTGAGCTAGAATACAGTAAAAAGGAGTAAGACATGCAAAGATCTGGGAGAAAAAGTGACCAAGGCAGAAGGTAGAGCAGTGCAAGTTCCCTAAGCCAAGAAGCAAGGTTCATGTCATGGGAGAAAAGTGAGCAAGTAGAAGAGTTAATGTGTGTCAGAGAGGAGGCAAGGCTAGACCGCCAGGGCAATGAAGGGCGTGATTAAGGATTTGTGTGGGCTCCTTTTTCATTTCCAAGAATACCAAGTAGAATCAAAGGGAAAAAATGCCACGTAGAATTAAAGGGAAAAAAATGTATAGCAGAGGTCTGTTTTCTAAGAGCAGAGTACCTGCTAAGTTAAAGAATCACAATAGGGCCTCTCTGGTGGCACAAGGAGTTAAACTGCAGCACTAGGAAGCTCTCTGCAGCCAAAGCACCATAACTTCAAGTCCCCACCAGGGAGCTGACCCGCATGGCCCAGCAGACCTTTCCTGTGTCACCCACTGCTCCCTTCAGCAGTGTATTTCAGTGGATCCACCTATTCTGCTCCCCGCTCTGTGTGTGGTGAATCCTCTCACCACCCCTGCACCTCTGGCCTGTACCCCAGCTCTTGTATGTATAAGTAAATAAAATAAGTCTTTAAAAAATACAATGGGGGCCCTCCCTGGTGGTGCAGCGGATTAAAGCACAGCACTGAGAATCTAAAAGCCGCTTCTGCATGAGTTCGATTCCTGCCTGTCCCAGAGGTGACCACATGGCGCGGCAGACCTCTCCTGGCCCACCCGCTGCTCCCCTCAGCAGTGTACTTTGTCGATCTGTCTGTTCTGTTCCCTACTCTGTCTCTGGTGAAGCCTCTCACCACCCCTGAGCCTCTGGCCTGTACCCCAGTTCTGTATGCACAAATAAATAAATCTTTAAAAAAATACAATAGAACATATACTGAATGTGAATATTGGCACTTGAATGACTGTAAGATAAACCTCAAGAATTAAATAAGAAGAAATTTAAAAAAAAAAAACACTGTTAGAGAACTTTAGAGAAGCTTGTTTCTCTTCAAGAGGAGATTTTGCAGGACCTGGAGAGGCACTGTTGTTAGAGAAATAAAGTGCTCCATGTTTATACCTCACTTCATCCAACCTGTGTGCTCAGAACCATACATAATAAGCACCTATAATAGCTGTTCTTACTGCTACTATTGCAACTGCTACATTTTTATGAAAAAAAAAATTCTGTTTCATTGTCATTTGCTCCTTTCAAACTTAAAGATGGTTAAGAAAATAACATGTGTTATGAAAGACATTACTTTTGTATCTCTAACATCTCTCCCCTCAAAATGACTTTCTAGGATTTGATGTTGCTAGAATGAGTTCCCAGAAAATAGCTGGGAGACCCCATTAGGGGGAACTGGGTGGAGGGTCTATTTTCATCCTCAGGATATCTTCTGTTTCCCCAGGTTTCTTCATTGCTCCGGGGATTTCTGGACCTGATGTTGGTGAGGGAACCCTCTCAAAGAGCCACAGCCCAGGAACTCCTCGGACATCCGTTCTTGAAACTGGCTGGTCCACCATCTTGCATTGTTCCCCTCATGAGACAATACAGGCATCACTGAGCACAGGATTCATGCAGGTGGCAAAGCTAGATGAAGACAGGAGTATAATTCAGGAGAACATGAGGAAACCACAGAACATACAAACGACCAGCTGATTGGTGGGACAGTGTGATGACCAGCAGGGTTTAACAGACCAGGGCATCTTCTTGTGTCTTAAACAGGCATCTCTCCACTGACAGCTGGTGTGATCATTTGAAACACGGCTTTAGTAAGTCATTATTGTATTTTTCAGCCCTTCATCCAGCAAATCAGAAGGACTCAGTACAAACTCCGTTATGATATATCCTAGCCACATGCAGGGTAACGCATAGGATTTTCTATATTGAAAGAATACTTTTCTGGCAAAAAAAAAAAAAAAAAAGAAAAAAAAGAAAGGAAAACAAAAAGCACTTTTTTCTTAATGGTAGCAGTGTAATGTATTTTGCAATGAATTTGTAATTTTTCTGTACAATAGTTTTGATAATTTATAGTACTTTGATGTCATGTAGCCATTGTATCAGTTGAAGTAATAACTTGTTTACTAGCAAGAGTTTGAACAAAGCCTTTCCTACTTTTTTATCCCTTTCAGAGAACCAACACTTCTTTAGGAACTTTGAATACTGAATGACTCAATCACCGTCAGCTTTAGTAGAATCTCTTTCTTATCTTAACAAGTGTCTTATGTGATGGAAGAAGAATTAAGAGTGATGGTGATGGTGGTGCCCATTTCATTTGTCCAACCAAAAAGAAGTCAGTTGGAGCCACAATTTACCACCAAACTATTCCTTGGGGTAAAGCTAGATATTTGGGGGGGGGGACATCACATATTCCCTCAAGGCTACTAATAGCAGACATTTCTTGCTTAGCAGGATGTTTCTTCCCCGTGCCCTCTGTCAGGGGCTACAATGTCCCACCTGTGGCCAAGTCTTCCTCCCAAGGAACAATGTGATCATTGGACTTAATTCCCCAAGTTGAGTATTTCAGTCCAGGCTGTGAGATTCCAGTCTCACAGAGGGAAAGGAGAGAGAACGGGCAAGACGTTTGGTTTCATTTGTCACTGTTTTTAAGACTCCGTATGCTAGCACACCAAACTCTTGTCTGTATTTACCTTCGTACTACAGTATTAATCGCTATTGTTCATGTTCGTGCTGGAAGTCTGAACTTACACTAGAGGATGGATTAGGAAAAGAGGGTATTTGAGCAGTTATGATCTGACTTCAGTTGTGACCATGTTATAATGTGTTTTTGACATAGGAGAGTTGTGCTGCTGTCTAGATCTTCTTGAATGTTGATAAAAATGAATGACTACTACAATACATTTTGTGTTGCTTGTTGGATGAATTTGCATGTTAACTGTAGGTCAATATAGATTTGCCTTTAAAACTCTGAAAGAGCTACATAGTCATCATTAGTTTCTATTAATTATGCATCAGACAAAAGCCATTTGTTACCAAACTAGAAAACCAGAGACTTTTCTTAATGACTTCATACTCTGTATCAAAAATGAATTTAAATTTGTGTAAGTGCTCTGGTTGCTCTAAGCATAATTAAGAATTTTTTCTAATTAATAGTTTACTAATTATTTATTATAGTTAAAAAGGAATAAAAGGCATAAAATGACCTTCTACTGATTATTTTCAGTTTTCCCCCAAACTGGAAATGCCTCACCATAAATAGGATCTGTAATTTTGTTTCATAAAACACAACAAAGTAATGCTTTATGTAAAATATTAAAATATTAATATAAATATGTAAGAATAAATACAATCTAAAGTCAGAAAACGGCAGTCCTAAAAATTCGTGGAGCAGATATAATCAGGACTATGTAGAAGTAGAAAGAAAAAAAGTAAATCTTTTTTAAATCAGAACAAATATTAAAGACCATTACAGAAAATAGTGAATTTTGAATTCCAAAAATTTTCGACAGTGTAATGGAAATTTTTCTGTAATTTTCTTATCACTGGGTATTTTTTTAAGTATTCATTGAGTTAACCCAAAGTTGACTGTAGCTTAAAAGATTTTGTGAGCACTAACTATTGGCAGAAACTGCACTTGCAAATAAAAATAAATGTTTGCCTTTTTCCCATCGTGTTACTGGAAACTCTAGTGATTTCCTGAATTTGTTTTCTTGAGGACCCAGAATGGTTTGCTGATGATTTGTGACGTCTTCCAGCTTACAGAAGGTGTGAGGTGAGCTCCCAGGTCATCTGGAAGAGAGTGTTAGGCCTCTTTTCTTCTTTGGTTGACAGGCAGATCCACCACGTACACTGCTGAGGGGAGCAGTGGGCAATACAGGAGAAATCTGAGGTCTGCCAGCCATATGGAGGATGGATCACCTTGTGGGGGAGGGGGTGGGGAAGAGGGAGGGAAGGGGAGAGAAGGGGGACAGACCTCACACTTTAGCTGAAGCATCAGCTCCAAGCCTTCACCAGGGAGGGGCCATCCCTATCTTTCAACAGCATACCAAGGATGGCCCTCAGGTCTTTCAACAACAGCTGACTACAGCCAGCTGAGATGCAGGAAACTTCCTTCCCCACTGTTCTCCAAAGAAAGGCATGGGCTATGAGTTAGCACAGCAGCCTTTGATTTGGGGGAGAGATTTAGAAGAGAGGAAAAGATTCAAACACTATCTGTTGCTGCTACTTCGATCTACCTTTTTCTCTGATATAAATTCAGTTCAAGCAAAGGATAAGGGAGCTATTTTGAATTAGAATGAAACTGATTTTTTAATGGATTAGAAAAATAGAATGAAACTGAGCTATGTTTGTGTTCCCCAAACCATTAGCCACTAGAAGAACATAGTCAGTAGCAATTACTGGGAAAATAGAATAATTCCATAAAAGGGGTTCAAACCCCTTGATCAAACTGGTCAAGTGAAGGGCACTGTGCCATCAGAGACAGCAATGAGACTCCTGGCAGAGAAAAGATCAATTTGGTCTGAAGCAGGTACAAAATGTACAAGTGGGTGCAGTGACGTGATGTGATACAAATACAAATTGTGCAGGAAATCAGTCAACTTGAGTCTTGAAATGTGAGCATTTTGAGTTGTCTTTGCAAATCAAATGAATGCACTACTTTAGTGTTTCCAAAAGCAAATCTAAGACAAACACTTAAATAAAAATTATTTACTTGGGAGGAGGGTGAGCCCATAAATTTCCACATGGCAGAATGAATGAAGAAATGAGACAATAAATGGGAGAAAGCTTTAAAAAAAAAAAAAAAGGTGGCTTAATAAATGGATAAATGGGTTACTATTGGCAACGTGAGCTCAGTCCTACTGGAGACCTGAGAGAAACACTCAGAATGGCCCATACTGGGATGAAGATGCCGGGGCATTTACCATCTCCTGTGCCTCAGTCATTAAGACTTGTCCTACAGCACTGACTCAACTTGCTTTTCATCCAGAACTTCAGTAAAGTTTGTGACTGACAAGGAGAGAGGCCCAGGAAGTCACTGGCATCCACAGAAACCATCAATACACACCCTCCTGGTGAGTGCAGGGAATGAGGCCCCTGGGGTCCTGAAGACAGCTCCTATGAAACCAGAGGTAATGAAGGACAAAAAGACTTGATATAGTTTATGAGGTTCTGACTTCTGGATCAAATATACTGTGCTAAAAGCAAAGCGATTCATTATCCTAAAAGGTTTGTTCACATAAGATATGTTTAGATTTTCAAAATAGATGACTGTATCAAGAAGTGTGGTACATAGCCACAGTGGAATATTACTCAGCCATCAAAAAAGATATCATGCCATTTGCGGCGACATGGATGGAGCTGGAAGGGATCATGTTTAGTGAAATAAGCCAGAAAGAAAAAAGGAAGATAATGGATGGTTTCACTTATAGGAGGAGTGTAAGGCATCAGGAAGGAAAATTTAAAAGTAAAGTAAAAAAATAAAAATCAACAAACAACTATAAACCAGAGACATTCTACAGGGGCTTGGGGAGCGGGGAATAGGATCAAAACTAGGGTGGGAAGAGCGCATGGGACTATGGTGATGGCACGCAGGTGAATTAGTGGCGGGACTTCCATGGGGGTTACAGTCGAGATGAAAAAGCATACATTGTACAAAAATGAAAAAAAGATGTAAAAAAATATGTTTCAATTTTTTACCTGTTTTGTTCACTGATATGTATGTTCCTAGCACCCAGACCAGGGTTTGGAAAACATGTGATCAATGGGAACAAATACTTACTTACAGCAGGAATTTTTAAGAATCCTTCCCCAGTAGACAGACAGACAGGCCCCCTCACTTTAAATGGCAGCTAAAGTAGCCCTTAGCCCTAAAGTTCTTAGCCTAATTTTGTACCCTGAACCCTCTGACTGGCTGAAACCTACGTAATCCTCCTCAGGAAAAAATGCTTTTTAAATGCACAAATACACAGGAAGCTAAAGTCTTGCTTATCAAAATATATTTTAATATTGTGGTTATAATTTACTAAACAACAAGATAATGTGATGGACCTAGTTACTACCACAAGTTCAGAATACTGAATATGAGTGATTTTTTTGAGATAGCGCCAACACATAGTGTGATTCCTCCTGGTGACAAATATACAGGTCTTGCTTACATAACAGTGATTTGGTACCTATGTTCATAATTGAAAGAAATGCTACGCTTTGCTTGAGATTAGTAAAAATTAGGGGTGTTGTTTATTTTTCTTATTTATGCTCATGGATTTCAATAGTGTCTGCCCAAATCTCAACCCCCTGAGAGTTTTACTAGGCTGAGAGGTGGGAGAAAGGAGGATGGGAAATCCCAAAATAAAAATATACTCTGAGTTCATAATAAATTGATACATAGAACAAGTGGATAAGTGGATGTCAGATTATATACCTCAGTGTCAGGACCTTTTGATCATCTATGAACTTGTATAACAGGTAAAGTTAGAATATATGTGTTAAGAAATGGGCTAAAAATGTAATTAATAATATAATTATAGAGCATTTCCAGTGTGCCAGATACTGTGCTAGGGACTTAACAGACTATCATGAATCCTCAAATAACTTTGCAAGAATGGGGGGCATAGCTCCATACTAAACTAACCCACTGGTCACAGAGAAGCCAATTTGGCTAATACTGTACTAGGCTGATAGCAAAGGCTTTATCACTAGAAATTCTCATACTGCTGCATCGAACTTAGCAGGAAGCATAGTAAAACTACATATTGCCAGGGGTGATCAGAGAGATTCTCAGTCAGTTAGAGGCACTGCTCTAGGATTGACCTTTTTCAACAGCCCCCTGGGGTGATTTTGATGCCAGCTGCTTGAACACTGCACTTGGAGAAGTACTGATTTAACGCTGCATCTGGCTGGCTCAGGTCACTGGAGTAGTGTTCTAGGGAAGTGTGTGTGCCCAGTGCCATGTCAGATTTCCCCTCACCCCTAAATGCAGCAGTCCACTCTCACTCTCGTCAGGCTCCTATTATCTCTCCTCCTATTTATCCATTCATCTCCCTAGTGTCTCCCGCACTGGTTCGGTATTGCCAAGTGTTTGTTAACAAAAAGATTGGACAACTGGCGAAAAGAGAGCGGTGGTGATTCAGAGATTTTTCTCAGGCTGGATATCGGAGCATCCTCGCCCCCCCACCCCCACCACCACCAGGCAACCTCCCTAGATTCTTATTTCCTGAGAATGGGGGAGCCCTGCAAAGAATGACACTCAGAATTTAAATCAAACTCTCCCCTCCCCCTCCCCACAAAGAATTCTGCTTATGGCTCATGTAGCCTGGATTTTCCAGGCAGACAGACCCAACATCCTTTTGTGCCAGGAGGCATTTGTGTTTCAAACCTCAGTAAAAAAGGAAAATGACTGCTAAAGGAATAATTGAGCATCTGCGCTTAATCTGTTTGTTTCCTCTCCTGTACCCTGTATCCACACTTAGATGAGCTATCTCCTCAGCCCCGTCCGGGCACAGGAACAGCTGCAAGACACAGGACAATAACTGTGGCCATGAAAGGGACCCAGGGCAGCCCCAGGGCTGCTTCTCTCCCTCTGACCACCCTGCCTTCACCCAGAGACCTCTGCCCCTGCCCGGATTGGGATACTGCTCTTTATTTTGATTAGATGATAATGAAAATACAGATAGGGATGAGAGAACTAAAGCTGGGTTCAAGGAAATTAGACTCAGCTTGAGAACTAATGTAAGGACCGCTCAGTAAAGAGAATGGGATTAATAACATGCTGTAGTCGTAAGGCTTATGGCACACACTGTGTATCGCAGAAGGAAACATCTCTTAATTTTGATAATTCAGAAATTTGTAGTCTAGAACGATTTAGTTAGCTTCTACAGAGGAGTGTGGCTGCGCCATGTGACATTTTGGAAAGCACAGCGGAGTTATTCTGTATTTTATGAACATGTATTTTGTTTTCTTATCAGTCCTTCCCCTATAGACTCCAAATTGTCAAGGTTAACACTATATGCCCAAGTGCTGAATCTGCACTTCAGCAAAATCTAAAAACCTGTTTGTTGAATAAATGAATGAATCACAGTTCTAAAACTGATAATGAGTCCTATATTTCGTGGAAATTAAAAATAAAAAATCACACACAGGGCATTTTTGGATGTATCACTCAGAAGGGTCTAATTTTTTTTTCTGAAGAGTTATAGAGAGGGATGTCCCTGGTGGCCTAGGTGTTAAATATCAGCACTATCACCTCTATGGCCTGAGTTTGATCCCTGGCCAGGGAACTAATCCACATAGGGTAAAGAAGACCTCTCCTGTCGTGCCCACTGCTCCCCTCCAGTATATTTCATATATTTCAATATATTTCCAGTATATTTCATCCAGCTGCCCTGCTCTCCACTCTCTTGGGTGAATCCTCTCCCATAAACCCCACCTTTAGTCTACACTCCAGTTCTTCTACACTATATATATGTGTGTGTGTATATGTATATGTGTGTATGTATGTATATGTGTATGTATATATACATATATACATATAGTGTATATGTATGTATGTATACATGTGTGCATATATGTATATATACACATATGCATATATACACACATTCTATATATATATATAATAGAAAATATATAGAGGATAGCTAGATAGACAGATAGATAGATACACA